GAAAACATGGAAACACCAAAGACACTTTAATATGTTGTGCGTTTTATTAGACCGGTGACGACTGCACAGAGTGGCATTATAACAGAACTTTCAAACGTATCTAGAATGATAAAACAGCACTGCTTTACCCCACATACGCACGACCGGAAGCAGCGGAAGCGGTCGACTGTGGCATAATAAAAGCTCCGCTGCTTTACCCCACATACGCACGACCGGAAGCAGCGGAAGCGGTCGACTGAATAACCCTGGGATGGGGTTCCTTGCTTGAGGATGATTATTTGGGGGTCTGTGGCGTTTAAAAGATTGAAAAACCCTGATCTATGTCATGTGAGCATACAGACCAGGTTAGACCAGCTAGACACCATGTAAAACCAGCTACTACTTTGCTGGATTGTCCAAAAGAGATCATATAGACTTGTATGTTGGGCCACCTAAGCTGTGATTGTTCCTCACCTCTCTGACTGAGAGCCAGATGATGTAGGACGAGACGATCTTGATGATGTGAAGCTCCAGCAGCCACCAGATGAAGAGCTGCAGCTTCTGAACACAATCCAGGAACTTCAGGAACAGCACCGTCAGACGCTCCACCACCAGATGCCACTTATTCTTCAGCTCTTCACACGAGAACAACACATGCATCACTTACAAAAACAACAGAATGTACCAAGGCAATGAGAGTTGAAAGTTTTTTGAATTGACATTAAGTATTCAGGAATTACTCTCAGATAAAGATCCAAAAGTGCTATCTAAAACTATTTGTATTACTTTTGTTAACTGAAATGAACTAACCTAAACTAAACGAAAATATTAGATGAAAAATTTAAATTAAGAATAAAAAAAAAACGTATTTGAAAATTAAAATCAAAACTGAAAATATAAAAATAAAAGCTAATTCAAAGTATTAGAAAATAATATAATAGTATACAAATAATACTAAAATAACTTAATAATGCAAACAAAAGTGATTCTGCAACCTGAAAGTGATGCACCTGTATTAATAATAAGTTAAATAAGTTAAAGCATGAACAAAATTAGAAATGCTGCCTTGGCAATTCATTGAAATAAAATACGTTTTGGCTGAATACTAAAAATGACAAAAAATTTAAATGACATAAATAATAATAAAGCTGAATAGAATATAAAAACTTCACAAATTTGACTAAAATGACTAAAACATAACCTAAAATAAAACTCAAAACTGAAGCTAAAAGCTAATTCTAAATATTAATACATATTTTATTAATTTAATAAATATTAATAAATACTTTATAATAGTATAGAAATAATACTAAAATAACTTCATAACATGAACAAAAATCAGCTCTGCAACCTGAAAAAGATGCACCTATATTGTTAACGAAATTAGAAATGTTGCCTTGGCAACCAACTGAAATAAAAAAGTGAAATACTAAAATTACTAAAAAATTTAAATTAAATTAAATAATAAAGCTGAATAGAATATAAAAACTTCACAAAAATGACTAAAATTACAAACAATTCAAAAACTGAAAACATAAAAATAAAAGCTAATTGTAAATATTAATCAATATTATAACAGTATTGAAATAGCATTAGAGTAACACTGGTCTATATTGTCTGACAGTAACACACAGGATTACTGAGTCACATCTGCACATGTGCAGAAAACATCAGGATTTTGGGAATGCAAGCAGCTGATTCCAGGACCGTAAAATAATGACCCTGTGCACAGCAACACTTACAGAGCCGTTTGTCAACATTACAACGCTGAAACAGCCAATAATGGGCAAATTATCTCAAATCTCAAAACAGTCATAAAACACAGACACCCACGGATGAATCACAGCGACATGTTCCAGACATGTTTATGAAATACATAAAGCACGAGCAGTGGAGTAACAACAGTTTAGAAAAGCAAAGTTTGACTCGCAGCTGTTCTCTGGTGCATACAGATCACAGAAAGCACAGTGTGGAACTCACTAAATAAGGCTAACAAGAAGCTACACAACCTGTACTGTTAAAAATAAGATAGGCCAAACTATTTTAGGCCTATCTCAAATTTGTCCTTTTTATCTAAGGTTTTAGAAAAAGTGTTTTTTAAACAATTCCAGGCCAACTTGACTTCTAACTCTGTTGCCGAGGTCTTTCGATCAGGTTTTAAGCCTTATCATAGTACTGAGACGGTATTGGTGAAAGTACTGAATGACATCTTTTTGGCTTTGGATAATGGTGAAAATACCATTCTGATTCTACTCGACCTCAGCACGGCGTTCGATAAGGTGGATCATAATATATTGTTTGACCGTCTGGAACACTGGGTTGGTCTTAAGGGAAATGTGCTGAAGTGGTTGAAATCATATCTCACTGGCAGATCTTTCTCTGTCTGCACAGTGAAAGAAAATTCATCCAGTTTGCCTCTTCCTTGGGGGGTACCTCAGGGTTCGATTCTTGCACCAATATTATTTTCACTTTATGTGTTACGTTTAGTATCCATTTTTCGTAAATATAATGTATCCTTCCACTGTTATGCGGACGACACTCAGATTTGCCTTCCAGTGAGACAGTCGAACATAAACATTATCGATAATTTATTGGCCTGTCTACAGGACATCAAAGCCTGTAAGGCTGCAAACTTTTTGAAATTAAATTATGATAAAACCGAGGTCATAGTGCTTGACCCTGGAAATCAGGAAGAGGCTCAATGCTTAAAATCTACCCATCTGTCTAGTTTAATTACAAATAGTGTAAAAAATGTAGGGTTTGTTCTGGACTCGGAAATGGATAAACAAATAAATTTGGTCATCGGGTCAAGTTTTTTTTTTATATTCATCTTTTAGCTAAAACTAAACCTTTTTGTAAACTGCTGGTTTTGAGAAAGCAATCACGGTGATGGTTTTCTCAAGAATGGATTACAGTAATTCGCTTTATTTTGGAATTAATAACGGAGCATTGGCGCATCTTCAAAAAGTACAGAATGTTGCTGCCAGGATGCTCAAGTGAGTCAGTTACACCGCTATTAAAATCGTTGAAATGGTTGGCGATTCAATACAGAATTAGCTATAAGATCTTGTTACTTGTTATATAATTTTGCCCCTTCCTATTTTCCGAGTGTGTTGGCATTTTACACTCCTTATAGATCTTTGAGATCTGAAAATCAAGATCTTCTTTGTGTAGTAAGAACTAAATACAAACAAAAGGATGACAGAGCCTTTTCTTGTGTTGGACCCAGACTTTGGAATGATCTCCCTCTTTCTGTAAGGTCAGTAAAGTCACTACCGAAAGTAAACACTACTTTAAGGCCACGTTAAAAGCACGTCTTTGTGCCAGGATATAAAATATGATTTGATCTTGTAATTTAATTACATACGTTTAAATGACACTTCTAATTCAGATGATACCATCTGCAAGGATATGATCCAGTTTTATTACATTACTCTTCAATGAACATGAATGGGTACAAAACGGTGTTTATTTCCTTATTTTAAATGTATTCCAACCTTCCGTCTTAGTTTACATCTTAGCAGAAATGAAATATGACACATTGCAATTCTGTTTGATGGAACCAAATTTTCCAAATCTATTAGTTTTTCTCAAATTATATTTATGGGTTTGTTCAAACCCAAAATTTTAATTTAATATGAATTATTTTCCTAAAGACAGAAACATTCATACAAAGTAAAAAGAGTATGTATTATAATAAAAGACAACATATTTTCTTTAGACATAAGCCAAAAATGTTACTTAATGCAGGTCAATATAATAATTGTTGGCTTTTTGCAAAAGGAAAATTAGCAATAATAATAATAAGTAGAAATACACTATTCTGTTACAGCCAAATGTATTAGCTTTCTTTTAAATTATATTTATGATTTTTATAAATTAAAAAAACTTAACTTTTTATTTAATATTAATCAAAGTAAAACGATTATTTATTATAAAGCCAATATATTTTCTTTAGACATAAGCCAAAATTCTTAATATAGGTTAATATAACAATATTTGTCTTTTTACAAATTAATTTCAGCATAATTAAAAGTTAAATTAGCTATAGTATTAAAGTAGAATTTTCACTCAGGGTAAAACTAAATAGATTTTGTCATTAAATGTTTAATTTAGTCTGCTCAGTATAAACAAAGTCAATTTTGAAAGACCTTAATGTTTATTGCAATATCTTAAAAAAAAAGCATCATATTTGTTGTTGTGTACTAAAAGAAATGGATGACTAATACCACAATCATTTCTGCAGTAAAGCTTTAAACACTTATACTAAGTAAATAGTATGTAAACAGTTTCTTTTAATTATTTTTTTATGGGGAGTATTATTTGCTTTTTGACAAACTGAACAAAACAGGTTCTAGTTTAAATAAATGACAGTCATTTCACCTTTTTTCAGTACATCCACACTAAATCTGACAGTCCAGTCTACCTGACCCCTGGTCCGGCTCAGGATCTGCGGTCATCGAGATCTCAGAGATCTCCTCTTCCTCCCGTTGTTTAACATCATCTTCCTCTTTCTCCAGGTCTACTCTCTCCTCAGTCTCCTCTTCATTTATGGAGCTGAATGAAGGTTTGACCATGGAAATATCCACCAGACTGCCATCCAGATGAACCAGCCTGACAATGAAGGAAAAAACACACTCATGATGAGACAGTTCACTGATTCACATTCATTTTTACCCAATAACAAACAAAAAGCAGAGTGGAAAAATCAGAAGTGTTAAACATAACCAGTGCTGATGTTAAAAATCTATATTTTACTTTTCACGTTTTCTGGTTTTACAGCATTGAATCACATTCCTCATTTGGAATTTTTATTTATTTTTAATTTTTTTATTGATCAAAAGAAAAAAAAAAAGACTAAAAACACATTGCTACAAAACTGAGCTATAATAATTAAGAAATGCAGAATTAATAAATTATATTATTATTATTTTGTTACAATTATTATAATATTTATATTACTTATATTTTATTATATCACCATTAACAACAACATCAATAATAATAATAATAATAATACTTTTAACTTAAGAAGAAAAAAAAAACTTAATACAAATTTAGAAATGATGCTTTGGCAACTAACTGAAATTAAATTATTTTAAGTTAAAGTGCTTGCATTTCTCAAATTTAAAGTGAAATATATATATATAAAAAAGCTAAATAAAATACGACAAAAATATAAAAAAATATATCAAAAATATGAAAACTGACAAAAAAGCACAAAACTAAAATGAACTAAAACTAAAAGATTAAAAACTAATTAAAAATATTAATAAAAATTATAATAGTAGATAAATAGTACTAAAATAACTCAAACGTGACCCTAGAGCACAAAACCAGTTATAAGGATCAATTTATCGAAATTGAGATTTATACATCATCTGAAAGCTGAATAAATAATCTTCCATTGATGTATGGTTTGTTAGGATCGGACAATATTTGGCTGAGATACAACTATTTGAAAATCTGGAATCTGAGGGTACAAAAAAAATCTAAATATTGAGAAAATCACCTTTAAAGTTGTTCAAATGAAGTTCTTAGCAATGCATATTACTAATCAAAAATGAAGTTTTGATATATTTACGGTAGCAAATTTACAAAATATCTTCATGGAACATGATCTTTACTTAATATCCTAATGATTTTTGGCATAAAAGAAAAAACAATAATTTTGACCCATACTATGTATTGTTGGCTATTGCTACAAATATACCTGTGCTGCTTAAGACTGCTTTTGTGCTCCAGAGTCACAAATAAGCTCTACAATCTGAAAAAGATGCACCTGTATTGTTAAAATGAGCTCATTTAATAATGCAAACAATAAGAAACTATGCAACCTTAAAAAGATGCACTAATGGGATCAAAACTGAGCATTTTAGCCATCAGACAACACGCACATTATCATAAACACACAATGTGAAATACGGTGGTGGCAGGATTATTTCCTCCGAGGAAATCCTGTCGGAAAACCTGATGGAGTCAGAAACTTGACCCCAGCTTCACAGGAATGCCTCAAAAACAACACTGTTCATTTCAGAGTCCAGATCTCAGTCCAGTTCATGGCTAGACTTGAAAAAGCCTACATACAACCAGTTGGGAAAACAGCTGCAGCGTCCAGACATGCAAAGCTCATCGAGACCTGTTTGTGCTTTCAGTAAGCACTGTACCTGGAGATTGTGCTCTTCTGTTTGTCGGCCACAGATTTGATGTCGGTGAGCTCGAGGAAGCGCTCGTGGAAATAGTGCAGATGCAGGATGCAGACCAGCAGGAACGAGGTGGGAATGAAGATCCGCGTGAACAGAGCAGGAACCGAGAACTTCTCCAGACCCAGATCTTCCAGCCTGCACAGAAGAGGAGCTCACCTATCACACCGCAACACCTGTGATACTGCTCATAAAAATAAGCTGTGCAAATATCAGCATACTTCTCTCTGCTCATGCCTGTCATGTTGGACCACACATTAATGGAGGACTCAAACTGGAACGTGTAGACCAGAATGAGCACCAGCATGGTGTAAACCACCACTGACATCCAGAAATACTTCAGCATCCAGCGCCACCTCTCATAGTGCAGCTGGAACAGAGCCGGACGACACATTAACTGACTGTATAAACATATCTAACACAAGATGAATCTGTGAAAAAGTACAGAAGCCCATTGCACCACAGAATAAGAAATAAAAAAGGTAATAGCTACTTCTCATCTCACCATTCAGGCTTCTTTATATCTCATAATTCAGACTTTGCAAATCTGAGACAAAAAGTCTTCATAAAAAAGGTTTATATACTAAGAATCTAACTTTTTTCTCAGAATTCTGGCTTTACAATCTCGCAACTGTTTTTTTTTCCCCTGCCACAAAATAAAAATAAAAAGGTAGAAAGTAATTTTTATCTCACAATTCAGACTTTGTTCTTGCAATTCTGAGTTTATATCTCTTGTTTTCTCAAAATAAATATTTGTCTGATATTAAATTTCTTTTTTTTTTTGCAATGCACATTTTTAGCAAGTTCATATCTCACAATTATGACTTTCTTCTCATAATTGTCTTCTCAGAATTGTGAGTTAATATCGCTCAAGCATTTATATCTTCAGCATTTATATCTTGCAATTCTGAGTTTATATCTTGCAATTATTATTTTTTCTTTAGAATTGCAAGAAAAATGTCTGAATTTATTTTTTATCCCGTGGCAGAAATAAATAAATAAATAAAAGGATAATAATAAATAAACAAAAACAAAAATGACAGATACAGTAAACAAACAAAATAAAACAACAAATGGCAATAAACAAACAAAAGCAAACAAATGACAGGTTAAACACAAAACACAACAAAACACAACAAATGGATAATAAACAAATGACAAACAACCACAAAAAACGATGACATACAAAACAAAAACAAACAATCAGATGATAAATAAACCAACTGAAAGTATACAAACCACACAGACAAACAAACTCCACATTAATTATTGTCTACTAATTCTGTTACTGTGTTTATAACGTGCTATTTGTAACAGTGGAAGCGATATCAAAAGGCTGTCATCAGAGCTACAGAGCACAACACAAACCTGATAAAGTGCCACGCAAAAGAGAAACATCATCATGTAAATTATCTTGTACATGACGATGCGTCCCTCAAAGCTCACGAAGAAGAACATTCCTCCACAGATGTAGATCGACACACAGACACACAGAGACAGACACAGACACACAGACACAAACAAAGACACACAGAGACACACACACACACACACACACACACACACAATATAGGGCTGTCAAAACATTTAAATATTTTGTGGATAATATCTTGTGCTACAGCCAAGTTTCCAGGTGGAAAAGGTTTAGCACATCAAAATGTTTACCAATATAGCTGATAGAAATGCTATTTATCAATAAAATAATTATTTCTTGGTTTTGTTTAACTTTACTAGCTCTAAAAAAAATGTAAGATGCTCTAAAAGATTCAAGAGTTTTTACAGAACTTAAATACACAAATAAAATGTTTCGGTTTCAACAGCATCTGTCTCTGAAAACAAACCAGCAGTGATCGATTTGATGTTATTGTTATTTTCAAAGCTTCTTAGCACAATGTAATTTTGAAAATCATTAAAACATTTAATTATATATGAAAATATATATATAGTTTTTTGATATAATCAACTATATTTCCTAATATTAAATTGTTTGTGAAATGTGTCAAATTTAATTCATTACTCTCTATTTGAGGATACCTGGAATGCAAAAGATAAAATATTTGCAATATACACAAAAGTTTTATGGACATGCTCAAGATTTCTTTTGCAGTACACCAAAACCTATGTGACAATGCACACTATTTTATCTGTGAGATGCCAATTGGGTGGAAATAGCAAATTTCGCTTTTTTACTAAACTTTTTTTTACGCATTTTAATTTCTTAAAAGGGTAAAATTGAATGAAAACTTGTGTTACGATCCTCTGCATCTTTGCTCTTGTGTGTCCTGCTTTGTGTACGTGAGTGTGTGTGTCTGCAGGGACTGGCGGTTCATCGAGGCACGTGATTGGTGGATCCTGAAGCGGATGACTTTAAACATCGGGAGCTCATTTTGGCGTTTGCTGTCCGGATTCCACCTCCATCAACAGATCAAAGAAATGCTGTGGCTATTGTTTGCAGCTTTATGACCACATTCTGTTTTCTGTTCAATTTATTCATACTGCATATATTATAACAAAGTTATCGGAGCGTAGGGGTGACCTGCCATTTATTTTGACCTATGTTTGCGATTTGTTTTTGTTTAGGGAGTTAGGGAAGTTCATTTGTAATTTTCTTTTCTTTATCATTAGGTCAGTTTTATATATTTATTTTATTAGTTGGTTTTGTTTGTTATTTTGGCCTTGGGCCACCCTGAAGCCACTGCTCCTTTATACCTCTTTATTCTTCTTTAATAAATTGTTTAAACTTATGGATGGTGTCTTCAGTGGTCTGTTGGTTGTGGCTGGAATCCCGTTAACAGTTTGAATTAGTTTTTATTTATATATATATATATAGGCATTTTTTTTTTTGTCAAAGTTTTGGTAATTTTGTTGTTTTGTGTCATTTTTATTACTTTTTCATATCTATAAAATTTGTATTAATTTTTATTTTAGTTTTAGTTATTTTAGCACCATTTTAGTATCAGGTTAAACCAAATGAAAATGGGAAATGTTGCCTAGCTGAAATAAATTAAATTTAAATAATTATTTTATTTTATTTTTTATGGTTTTAGTTTTAGTTAAGAGTGGTAAAAGTGCTGTTTCTGTGTCTCTCTCTCACCGATTGTGTGTCCCTCCACTTTGACATCAGACAGCTGCGTTTCAACAGTCTGTTTCTCTCTCCTCTCCGTCAAAAACTGCCTCAGCAGCAGCCAGAAACTGAGGAGGCACAACGTCTGCACAAACACACTGTAATATTATCATAGTCAAAAAAAATTAGCCAATGATTCATTCAAAAGTGGATATGTGTGTGTTCAGTGCCTAAAACTCCCTTAATCAGGATAAAATCACCGTACCGCACAGAATGGAGCAGTAGTTCAGTGATTTCAGCAGCAAATACATGTCTTAAAATACAGCAATGTTCAATAAATAATCATTCACAACCAATAATCACAATAAACAACTCTTTAAACAAGTATAACACCGTGTCCTAATCAGTCACAGCCAATCAGAACACAGTGTGGCTCAACCAATCAGATTATTAAACTGGAAACATCTTTTTTGAGTTATTTAAACACATAAATACATAGACACTAGGGCTGGGTGATGTGGCCAAAAATATTATCTTATTTATTTATTGTAGCATTAATGACGAAGGATATGTATTTTTCCCTACATTCTGTGTTTTCCATTTTATTTTTTCTAGATTTTGTGTTTTATGATTGAATACAAATTCATCATCAGAAATTAAATGTATTAATACAACTTTAAAAATTAAACAGATATTTTGAAATGTAATTTAATGAAAATATAACAATAATAATAATTAATATAAATATAATAAAATATAACAATAATAATTTATTTAAAACAAAATATTGCTTTTTTTTTTTTTTGTTAAATAATATGCTGCACGACAGAACTGTTTCAATTAAAACATGATTGAAGAAAATTTCTTGGTTGTGTGATATTCCTTCAAATATTAAATATTGTTATTATTAATTACTACTACTACTACTAGTATTTTGAGAATTATATTTTAGTAAACAACAGAGATATATTTCTGTCATAATTTCTTCAAGTTAAACCAGACTTTTATTTTGGCGGGTTGTCGTGAAGGTCTTTCAGTTTTACTTTCCGTTTCGGTGTGTATTTCTTTATTTCTGCTGTGTGATTAATCCACATCGACTAAAAATGTCCAGAGCTTATCATTCTTATCAACATACGTTTTATCACAATATGATATCATTTATCACACCAGCTCTAGTAGACACAAACAAATACAGCACGTAATGCGGTCTTACTTTCGATCCCAGTTCCCGGAAAGGCACTTCTTTCTTCAGGAAGAGTCCAGGAACGGGTTGCAGCGACTCGAAGCTCCAGATGTACTGCAGGATGATGAGCAAGTTCCCATAAAACACCATGAACGGAGAAGTGATCATTGAGTATTTCCTCCGGTCCCTCACCATCCACAGAATACAGGACCAGATGAGGAAGACGAAGGTCAGCCAGCTCACGTACGTGATGCTCCAAGCCTGGACGGATGGTCAGGAGAAAAAAAGAATGAATTTTCACACAAGACCTCAAATGATGTCTTTAAATGAACGTCATTTGCACAGACTCACCATCATGGCAATGAGAGCACAGATGTAGCTCTGCTTCATGATGAACCTGAAGGCCTTGACCGCCGCTTTCACACGAACGACACCGAACGGCCGGGGAACCTCGGGAAGCTCAACATACACCGAGTCAATCTTGTAAACACCGCAGTCCACTTTCTCTGAAAAAGAAGCGTGTATTTTAAGCAAACGCCAGGGTCGGATTCTGTGAATCCTCTATCTTTGCCCTCGAACATGAATGGAGGCTTTACATGTGTTTATCTGGAAAATTTAGACTGCATTTCCAAGAACTGAAAAAACGAACTTCCTGAAATGTATGGGAAATATCTAGGGAATAGGGATGTTTATGGGAATAGTGTTAGACTATGTACTTGGTGGAAAAACATCCTATTTCACTACATATTAATTTGCACCTAAATCTAAATCAGTATTTTTGTCTTAATTTCAATATATCTAAACTTTCTTAAACCAGATAGATTTACTTCGGAAGCAAAACTGTGCAACAGTACAATATTTAATAATTAGTGACATATTAATTAGTAATATGGTAAAATAATATATTAATCAATAAATATATAATTCTCTCTCCACATTATATATGTATGAATATGTACAGTCAAACCAAAAATTATTCAGACACCAGATATAATTTTTGATATTATTTTACTAGTGGGTGCAGGACACTATAGTTCATAAATGTAAGTGAGGATAGCAAAATAAAGTAAACTGTGACATATTATACCCAAAAATTCTTCAAACAGTGGGTTACCAGTAAAACTGGGCGCAAAAATTCTTCAGACACTTTGACCTGACCATGTTTTGCTGAAGCGTTTTTCTTTAATTGCTAATGCGACCTTTTTACACCACAGACTGAACAAAATTAAGCATTGCTTGGTAATTGGTAGCTGAATAATTTTTGGTTGATTGTAATCCATTACATACCTTTCTATCAAAGTTATCTGACATTATCAAGATTAATTTGTTCTGGCACAGTTATTTCACATAAACTGTGATATAATGTGAAAAATGTTGAAGGTGTCTGAATAAATGTTGTTTCACTGTACACTGTGTGTGTATATATACCATGGTATTGATATGTGTGTGTGTGTGTGTGTAATACCATGGTATTTAGTGACTGACTTACGCGGATCAGACTCGGGTCGGCCGGGTCTGTAATGAGGGCTTGAGTAGAGATCCACAGGCTTCGGCCCGTTCTCATGCAGGACTGACGTGAAGTCCAGCGAGGCTCCGTTTGAGGTTACCATCAATACCTGGGACAGAGGAAAGCCACAGTATTTCCTGACAGGCTCATGTATTCATCTATGATGCTCATTAATGAGAGTCAATCTGAAACACAGACCTCAGGTGTGCTGTAGCCCTCTTGTGTGGTGAGCAGCTGAAAATGCAGAAGGAACGACTATTTATCTACAAATCACATCTTGAAACAAGTCATAGAAAATATATGGTAAGTGCATGTTTGCTACATTAAGAAAATATCATGAATATAGTGCATATATTATCAAAATGCCCCTCTCTAGAGTTGTTTTTCTAGCTGTGAATTACACAGTGACCATTGGGGGGGGGGGGGGATTTTTTTTTGTTGTAATTTTAAACGGGGACCATTGGGGGGGGGGGGGTATTTTTTATGTTGTAATTTTACAAATCCCTGTCTTGATAAGCGAGTCATTCATTCAATTGATTTGTTCAAACGGCTGATTCATTCAGAAACGAAGCAAGTGACTGCGTTTATGAATGGTTCACTGAATCATTGATTCAGTCGATTCGTTTAACGTGGATTCATTAATGAAACACCGCTGTGTGTTGATCAAAGACGCCCAACAGTTCTCCTAGGTACTAGAGAAAGTACTGACAATGTGTCTAAAATGTAATTATTCACACCTTTACCTTATCTTCATTTTTAAATGAAAACTTTTATGCAACCTATTTTTGTCTTTCTGCCAGCCAATGATGATTCTGAAAGAAAACACGCGGTGTTTGTTATAGTAACACATGCAGCTTTCACACGCATCTGACTGACAGAACCGCGCACTTGTATTTCAGCGGTACTGTTAATGTTATGGTTATTTTAGCAAATAGTTTGCTCCATAAATTCAGTTCAACAGCATTCATTTGAAGAGGGTGAACTTTATCACTCGACTGAATACACAAATGCATTTTAGGTGTTCTTGCTCCATCCAAGCAATAAATGCATGTCTTTATTCTTCAGCCGCTCAGGTAATGTCAGTATGACCCATTTCAGGGGCTGCCAAAATTACATTTTAAAATCAGTCAGGGCTATAGAAATGCATCTTAATATTTACAAGTAAATCTCCATATTATGCATAGGCTAGCCTTCTTTCTATCGGACCCCCCTACATCTAGATTTGACGTCCATCATGGAGGATCAAGCCTTCTTTAGGGGGGGGTCGGACCCCCCCAAACCCCCCCGTAATTCGCACCATGACTTTATGGATGTTGAATGGCTTTCCTAAGTGTCATGTTATGTGGCATGTTTTATTACAAGTGAAAATTGCTGTTTCGGCCGAATATTTTTGGTTCCTGAAATATCTGTGCATCACTAAAGAGTGAAATGGAGCTCCTACATGTCTCTCATCTGTGCGATAATGAGCCATTCGCCACAGCTGCCTCTTCTTCTTTGCAGTGTAAACGGCCATATTGCTTTCAGGAGATTCTGGTTCCTCTCGTTCCTCAGTCTCTCCCTCTTTCTCTCTGACCTGCCGATGAACCACAATCACAAATACATCCCATATATATCGTCTGGCTACTGGTTAAAAAAAAATGAAATTCTTAAACCCTCATGTTGTGCTCTGGTCACTTTGACCCGGAGATGATTTTCTTTTTCCTGAAAATGCTATTTAATATCATCGCGTTGGACTAACACTTAATCACAGAGGCTCACGGAGTATAACAACTTCACAAAAACATTTAGATGTTTGGGGTTGAAATCTTATTTGACTTTTGTGATCAGATGAACAGGAAGGCTGTAGTCTGACCATGTCTTCTGACTCCTGCAGCCACAGGCGGATGAGCGTGGCCAGGGTGTAATACAGCACCAAGAGCATGATGGGATTGACAAAGTGGTGCCACTCCAGATCAGGGTTGACTCTGAACATCCAGGTGTGAGAGCAGTCCGTCTGAACCACAGGAGAAATGCCAAACAGACTGAGGAGGAGATGAGACAAATAGCATTCATTCATAATAAAATCCATTACTAACATGTTACAGTGAAGGTGTCTGATATTAATACCATGGTATGCGAGTCATGACTAACATATACACTGATGTTCAAACGTTTCTTCTGCTCACCAAGCCTGCATTTATTTGATCCAAAATACAGAAATATTGTGAAATGTTATTACAATTTAAAATAGCTGTTTTCTATTTTATTATGCTTTAAAATGTATGATGCAAAGCTGAATTTTCTGCATCAGATGAATAAAAAGTAAAAAAAAAAGACCAGCATTTATTTAAAATCTTTTGTAACAATATACACTACCATTCAAAAGTTCAGACTATTTTTATTTAGCAAGGATGTTGTAAACTAATTTTAAAAAGCGATAGCAAAGACATATTGTTAGAAACATTTCTATTTTGAATAAATGCTGTTCTTAACTTTTTATGGATCAAAGAATCCTGAAAAAAGTATCAGAGATTTAAAAAAATACTAAGCGACGCAACTGTTTCTAACACTGATAACAAATCAGAATGATTTCTGAAGGATCATGTGACACTGAAGACTTCAGTAATAAATTGTACTTTAAGTACATTAAAATGAAAAACAGTTATTTCAAAATATTTCACAATATTAGTGTATTTTAGAGCAAATGAATGCAGCCTTGGTGAGCAAAAGAGACTTCTTTTTAAAAACAATGATGATGTTTCACCATCATGTTAAAAAAATGCTCAGTAATACCATGTTTTTGAAAGTTTCAGTGCATATATTAAAATAATAATAAAAATCCACATAAAAGATATGAGAAATATAAAACTGGACTGATGTGGGATGGAAAAATAAGTATATCACCAAATCAAAAACTGTAAGAGAAGAGCTGCTAATTCTCTTCAGATTTCTTAAGGTTATGCTTGTGTTTATTTTCCCCTATTTTTTCTTTCTCTCTTTCAGTGGAACCAAAATTGGACGCCTAAGGAACAACAACAACAAAACAACAACAGCCCATGCCTTTTTACCAGGGTATAAAAGTTAAAAAAGGTATAAAACGGGATGAATAAAGAGAAAACAGAAGCACAGCCCAAGACAGCAACACTTCCAACAGCTCTTCACTTCCATTTGAAATGAAAAATAATCTGAAGCGTCACGTCCGTTCAGAACAAACACATGGCTTTTGATGCAACCTGAATACAATGTACTTCACATTCAGCTGATGAAATCAATAAAACGGTAACTTCTCGCAGCGTATTAGGTGACAAGTGCATGCTCCTTGGTTTTTATAGTTTCGGTGCTGTTAGTAAAATCATTGTGGGTTGTCAGATGTTCATTTTGCTGCTGCTTCATGGCATCGAGAAAATATGAAGTCAGAATATTTGGCCTTTCGTGATTCATCCAAACCCAGAGCGTGACGCCCAAGTCCTAATGCCACGGCTGAAAATAACCAGTCGAAGTGCAGAAAAGTTGCTGGATAGAGTTACTATTTATAATGCGGCCAATTCATAATAAACACACTGTTAAGCAGAAAAAGGTGCCATACAGATAAATCAGAAAGCTCTTTAATCTCAACCGCTAGACAGCAAACCTTTACTGAAGTCTCCTGCTTCTCGTTTCTCGAAATCTCGCATGCATCTCCTCAAGAGATCTCAACTGCATCTCAAAGGTCAGAGATTTCAACACTCTTAACAATAAAGCTGCTTAAAAGGTTCTTCATTTTTTGGTTCCACAAAGAACCATTCATTCAAAGAACCATCTCTTTCTTAGCTTTTTTATAATCTGAAGAACCTTCTTTCGCCTTTTGTGAGACAGAAAGGTTCTTCAGATGTTAAAGGTTCTTTATGGAACCATTTAGACAAAAAAGGTTCTTCTATGGCATCACTGTGAAGCAGCTTTATTTTTAAGAGTGAATGTGGACTCGAATCTCGCGTATCAAGAGATTCAGAGACATTTTTATAGCACTATATTCGTAATGTGTGCCAGTAATTGTCTCATTTACATTTCATTTACATTCCAAAGAAATATTTTGAAATGTTGGTACACTACTGTTCAAAGGTATGGGGTCGGTAAGTTCTTTGTTTCTGAAAGAGTCTCGTCTGCTCACCAAGGCTGTATTTATTTGATCAAAAGTACAGTAAAAATTGTGAAATATTATTGCTATTTCAAACAGCTGTTTTCTATGTGAATATCTGTTAAACTGTAATTTATTTCTGTGATCAAATCTGTATTTTCAGCATCATTACTCCAGTCTTCAGTGTCACATGATCTTCAGAAATCATTCTTGAAAACAGTTGTGCTGCCCGGTATTTTTTCAGGATTCACAGATGAATAGAAAGTTCAAAGTACATATTTGAAATAGAAATATTTTGTAACACTATAAATGTCTTTACTGTCACTTTTGATCAATGTAATGCATTCTTGCTGAATAGAAACACTCATTTATTTCAAAAATGACCTTAAACATTTGAACGCTAGCATGCTTAAAGGAAATATGTGACCCTGGAGCACAAAACCAGTCTTAAGTGTCAATTTTTCAAAATTGAGATTTATGCATCATCTGAAAGCTGAATAAATAATCTTTCCATTGATG